CAGCAATCAGCACTCCTGAAAATTAGTAAATTTTTATGCAAACATCAAATATGCCTTAGGGGCATGTGAAGTGGGCCCTATTCGTTTTGGATCCAGCCGAAATCAGGGACAGTGATTCAATTAGTTGATTCAGATTACTGTCCCTGATTCGATTCAGCTGAATCCAAATCTGATGATTTGATGCTAATTCAGAGAATTAGCAATTCAAACATAGCCACAGCTTTAAAAGTTTTTCTACATATCTCAAGGCACCAGGTACAGCTTGTGAATGCTGCGATGCTGAGGTACATGAAGCATTCCACAGGAGTGCCGAGGGGCCCCTCCATGTGCTCAGCAGCAAACCCATAAGTGGACTGGAAATAGTTCCTGTCCAGTTCCAGGTCTGCCAGGGAGCGCGCAGGGCCATCCCCCTCCCTGACTTGGCAATGGGCCATGGGGGGATGCCAGGTGCCCTCCCCAGAACTAAGAGGCACCAGTTGCCGAGCCAGGTGGGGTGCAGGGGCGCCCCCCCCAGCATGCTCCCCAGCGGACCCAAAAGTGCTTCTGGTCCACTTCTGGATCTGCTGCTGAGCACACTGAGGAGCCCCCTGTACTTCTGTGGAACGCTTCATGCACCCCAGCATTGCAGCACTCATGAGCCGCCTGCTACCTAGAGGTATGTAGAAAAAATATTTAAAGCTGTGTCTATGTCTAAATCTCCGAATCTTTCCAAATCGATTCGGAGGTTTCCGATTCGATTTGGAGAGATTAAAGGATCCTCTACCTTCAATTCGGATTCGGAGATTTGGCCACCGAATCGAGCTGAAACTCCACCAAATCAGATCAGAGACCGAAGCTTTACGCAGCCCTAATATGCATTACCAGATTAATATTAGTCACTGGGCGCATCTACATGATACACTGACTGTGCAGTAGCGTGACACTACTGAGCAGTAGTGTCACGTGGCAAAAGCCAAGCCAAGTCGCTACTGCATAGTATTAGGATACTGCACAGTAGCATCACTTAGAAGGTGTTTGCTGATCCTACTATGCAGTAACTCTGGTTGAGAACCTACAGTGTGTTCTGAACTGTATCAGAGGCATGAATCCTAATTAGGATCTGCCATTATGACCCCCCATACAGAGTTTCAGTAAAGTCAGTGGGACTCTGCAAGGAAACAGTGGTCCACCACTGCCAGATCCCAATAGAGCAGGCATAGGCAATGTTTTTTGGCCAGAGTGCCAAAAAACCCACAATGTCTACCTTGGAAGGTGCTGGAGTGCCAACATGCCAGAGCCCAAAGTAGTTGTTTGCAGCCTCCCAGCTGCAGCCGGCCCATAGAACCCGGTCTGCTTGCAGCAGGGCTTGCACCCTCCCAGCCGCCTGCTGGGAGCAGCATGGGCTCTGTGGCTGGCAGCAGCTGCTTAGAGCCTGGGCTGGCAGTGGTCTGCCAAGCAAAATGGCCCTGCGTGCCATGCTCGGCATGACCCCTGCAATAGACGATAGGACCTACACAGTAGACATCTTTCCTGGTCTAAGGAGTTCCACCTCAGCCACAAAACACAACACAGTATCAGCTGACATTGTGTCCTTCAATATGGCTCCCATGTAGAGACAACACATTTAGTTCTTATGACAGCGCTTTCTATGCATGAAAGATTCCCATGCAGAGGGGAAACCAAATGACCACACAGAGGAAATAATAAAACTAAACTAAGTAGGCAGAGAATTATCTCAAATGCTAAAAGAAAAGAAATGGGAAATAAAAGAGATAAGTATCTTTCTCCTTTATCTTCCCCCCCAATTACTGTAAACTTGGATGTTACTTGTAAAAAGTCAGTGGAAAAAAAGTTCACACTGTAATGTGACTTAAAAGCTGATGATGTTCCCTTTCTCTTATTTTGCCACATATCACTATTTTTAATGTTTGATGTCAGGGCTGGGAGTCAAGTATTCTTGAGTTCTTATCCCTGCTCTGTAAAAGACTAAGGGTCAAATCCTGTTCCATCTACTGGACATCTAAGTAGACCTATGCTTCTACATGTAATTCTATTCCATGCTGTTCAAGTCCCTGAAAATCCATTAACATCTCCTTTTTTAACATATCTTTATCTTACTTGTAAAACTGAGTCACATATAAACAGTAAAGAAGAGGAGGAGAAATAGGTAGAATAGAATCTGGTCCTTTATGTTTAGCCTTGAGCAAAGTTTCTCTGCCTCAGTTGCACAGTTATTTAAAACAGAGGGGGGCTCCAGATACATATTTTAAAAAATTGAAAGTAAAATCACTGTTCAAATTATGGCTTAAACACCTGAATTTTAATTTTTTCTCTTTCAATCTTCTTTCACTATAGTATGGGGTATTGTAAGGGATGTTCATAGGATGGGATGGCTGATGACTTTTTTTTAATTTAAAAAAATATCGAAGGATTTGTTTAAAAACATGAACAAAGAGATTTGTATATACTAGAAAAAATTTTACATTTATGCTCTGCAAAATTGGACATGTCTCTTTATTCTTATGACAAAGCCAAGAGTGTTGCTGAATATTTTAGTTGTAGTGCTCTGAATATTTATTCGTTGCACTGTTAGTAGAAATACAGTTTCAGAAATCTACATCCAGATTTGATGAATCAAAGAGACCTAGTCAATGAGTGACTGTAATATAAATTTCCAGTTCTGATGTAAGATACGGCATAATTCTGACTGACCTTCAGACTGTCTATGACAACTACGCTTACTGTGCATCTCATCCCAATGCCTTGCCTGTATGGTCTGGTTTCTGAAGAAATAAGACTAGTCACTTTTATGAATCACATTTTCCTTCTGATTTCAATAAACACACGTAAAATATTGATCCTGTTATCTCTGGAAATCAGAAGTACTTTAACAAATACAAACACAAGGCAAATAAAAGACTTACAAAAGCATATAGAATGGAAGGCGGTTAATTCTCTTAGGCATGAGGCATTCAGAAATCTTTTTTTTTTTTTTTAAATGGTTAATTCTTTAAAGTAAACATTGTTAATATTGTTGGCTGAATTGAAAACAAGCAGTTAAAAATGGTTTGATCTCAGTTTAAAAAAATATTGGGTCCTGTCTTAATAAAGTACACCTTCTTGCTTTCTTGCAGGATTCAACAAAGCCTAAATACAAATATTTATCTTTTTTTCCCTTAATACTTGGTGTGTTCAGATACAACTAAAATGACACAAACTTTCGTCATTTTTAGTCAAATAAAATTATGCAAACCAGTAAACAAACTGATGGATAGACAAATCAGGTAACTCTATGTGAAATTCTTCCATTATTTGCTTATTGGGTCATTCATGCCACAGGAGGTGCATGAGTTTTGTATTTGATTTATTTATTTATTTATTCCCCACTCCTGAATGGGTTTAAAATTATCACTGAAAATTATTTAATGAGATTTATGTACTTTTCCCCTGATAAATTAATCATCAAAGCCTGCATCCATTGCATACTATAATACCCAGTGATTTAGATGGAAGTTCAGTTATGAAGGAAATTTAAGACTGGGCCCTAAATGCAGACCTGCTCCTGCTCCCTTTGTATATGCAGGCTGGTATGTAATTAGAACTTTTGATTGCCATTAAAAAATAAGGACATCATTACATGCAGCTCCCACAGGAGGAGAGTACTGCTTAGGATCCAACTTTGCTTTAAGCGTTGATCAGAACCAGTGAAATTTCAAAGAGATGGAAAGCACAAAGAGAAATGTACTGACTATATTATAGCATTAAACCTGCAGAGCAGTGCAAACACTTGACATCCCCTACATAGTTAGAGCTGAGCAAATGAGCATCAGGTTAAACAACAAGCAACTGAGAGAACTGTCACAGACGTGGAGATCATAGTCCAAAATGAGAAAGCAGAAAAGTAAAATAAAAGGGCAAACTGATCCAGAAAAACCTTAGTAGAAAAGACAGCTTGAAGAAATTTTTTTTACGTGTTCTAGGAATAAAGTTTATTAAAAGATGAAGCAGCTATTAGGTAGTGTAACTCTTGTAGCTAAGTTACCTTTTAGCTGCAACTGTAGCTGTTAAGTAGGTGCAGCTATAACAGTGTCCCTGTATTAGTTTTATTTAAGAAAACCTTTTCTTGGAGCTATGACAAATTTGGGAAGATATAGGGAATACCCAACAACAATTTAGGATAGTTGTGAAATAAATTCTGTATGATTTCTGTGCCTAAAGCTTAATCGCTGAACTTCAAAAGTGAACAACAAACATATTAGCTGCATATCCAATTTGTGTGTTGAAGGCACGAAAGGAACTGAGAATGTGAATGGAGTAAACACAAGCCTTATGCGCAGTGCTTCATTTTCCACAGAAACATTTGAAAATGCAAAGAGTGATTGATCACGGGTGTAGGTAATCTTCAGTAAATATAAAGTCTGCCAATCAGTAGTGCATCCAGCCCTCAGCCATTTACCTCTCTAGGCATTCC